GGGGGGCTACAGGAGAGGGTTTTGGGGGGGCTATTGGGTGCAATTAAGGGAGGGTTTGGGGGCCCTCAGTGAGGGTTTGGGGGTGCGGTAAGGGCAGAGTTTGGGGGGCTGCAGGGTGCAGGAAGGGAATGGGTGGGGGGGGTTCAATAAAGGTTTGGGGGCTGCAGTAAAGGAAGGGTTTGGGGGGCTGCAGTAAAGGTTTGGGGGGCTGCAGGGTGCAGGGAGGGAATGGGTTGGGGGGGTACAAGGCAGGGCTTGGGGGGGCTGCAATCAGGATTTGGGGGCTGCAGTAAAGGAAGGGTTCGGTGCCTATAAGGAAGGATTTGGGTGGGTTACAGGGTGCAGTAAAGGAAGCGTTTGGGGGAGCTACAGGGGAGGATTTGGGGGGCTACAGGGGAGGGTTTGGGGGTGCTCTAAGGAGGCTGCAATAAAGATTCGGGGCTCTGCAATGCGGGCACGGTTTTGGGGGTGTTCCAGCAAGGCTCGGCGGGTGCAGCAGGGCTCGGGGGGCTGCCCCAAGGATGGGTGGGATGCAGGGAGAGTCGGGGGGCTGCGGGAAGGGGCGGGCGGGGGGCTGCAAGCAGCATCGGGAGGATGCAGGGAGGACGAGGGGGCTGCCGGGAGGGTGCGATGGGGGCCGGGGGGCTGCGGTGAGCCCGGGGGGGCCGCGGTGGAGCTTGGGGGGGGCAGCGGCGGCTCCGGGGGTCGCGGGCGGGCTCCGGGACCCCCGCCCCCCCCGCATCGCGCATGCGCCGCGCACTCACCGCGCCGGGGCTCCGCCGCGCCGGCACCGCCCCCCTGCTCAACGCCTATTGGGCAGCGCGCCGGCGCAGCTCGCCGCTCATTGGTTGAGCCTGCTGCCACTCAGATCGGGCGGGACTTGGCCTTAAAGGGGCCGCGTGGGAGCGTGGCGCAGAGTTAATTAGGCGGTGCTGATCCCGCGAGGGTCATCCCTTGGTGCCCATCGCCTCTTGTTCATGGCCCAGTGCCCTTTGCCCAGTGCTCGTTGCCTGGTGTTAATTAATTACTCTGTGCCCATTGCCCGGTGTCAATTAATTGCCCAGTGCCCGGTGTTAATTAATTGCCCAGTGCCAGTTGCTGGTGTTAATTAATTGTCCCGTGCCCAATGCCCGGTGTTAATTAATTGTCCTGTGCCCATTGCCTGGTGTTAATTAATTACCCCGTGCTCATTGCCCGATGTTAATTAATTGCCCCGTGCCCAATTCCCGGTTTTAATTAATTACCCAGTGCCTATTGCCGGGTGTTAATTAATTGCCCCGTGCTCATTGCCCGATGTTAATTAATTGTCCCGTGCTAATTGCCCGCCGGTGTTCAGTCATTTTCCTCCATCGGACAGGACGGAGCAGCGCCCTGGGTCCCGCAGCCTCTGGGCAGCGCCATCCAGCTGTTCCCAGCTGTGTGCGGGGCTGAGCCCAGGCAAAACTCATGGCAGCGATGCCCTCTGCCAGCCCCGGCTCTGGCACCTCCCCACATCCCGGGACACCTGAGCTCCCTGACCCCCGTGGGATGGTGGGGATGGTGGAGCATCCTCGGAGCTGAGGGGATTGGGGTGGATGAAGGGAGAGCAGCCCTGACCCCAATGGGATGAAGGGAGAGCAGCCCTGACCCCAATGGGATGGTGGGGAGGGTGTAGGGTGAGCAGCCCTGACCCCAGTGGGATGAAAAGGGATGAACCGAGAGCAGCCCTGACCCCGGTGAGATGGAGGGTGGGTGAAGTGAGACCCTCAGCCAGATGCTGGTGGTGCCACTGGAGCACCCCCTGACCCCAATGGGATGAAAAGGGGGTGTAGGGAGAGCAGCCCTCACCCTAATGGGGTGGAGGGGGATGAAGGGAGAGCAGTCCTGACCATGATGGGATGAAGGGAGAGCAGCCCTGACCCCACTGGGATCGAGGGGGAGAGCAGCCCTGACCCCCAATGGGATGGAGGGAGGGCAGCCCTGACCATGATGGGATGGAGGGAGAGCAGCTCTGACCATGATGGGATGGAGGGAAAGCACTCCTGACCCCAAAGGGATGAAGGGAGAGCATCCCCTGACCCCACTGGGATTGAGGGGGGTGAAGGGAGAGCAGCCCTGACCATGATGGGATGGAGGGAGAGCAGTCCTGACCCCAATGGGATGAAGGGAGAGCAGCTCTGACCCCAATGGGATGAAGAGGGGATGAAGGGAGAGCCCCTGGCGCTGGCTGTGATGAAGGGACACACCGAGGTGTGCGCTGCTACCCGCCACCAGAGCCCCCTGGCCCCGATGGCACCGCTGGAGGGGCACAAAGGGACACACCAAGGTGGGTGCTGGTGCTGCCAGCGGCCCTGGCACGCTCTGGACGCTTTATTCCTCCTGCCCCGAGCCCCGCGGGCAGCTCTGGGAGCAAAGCACCGAGCAAAAGGCGCCCGGTCCGGCTCCCCGCGGTGCCCCGGCTGTGCCCGAGGCTCCCGGTGTCCCGGCCATGCCCGAGGCTCCCGGTGTCCCAGCCATGGCTGTTCCCGAAGCTTCCGGTGTCCCAGCCATGGCTGTTCCCGAAGCTCCCGGTGTCTCAGCCATGGCTGTTCCCGAGGCTCCCGGTGTCTCAGCCATGGCTGTGCCCGAGGCTCCCGGTGTCCCGGCTGTGCCCGAGGCTCCCGGTGTCCCGGCCATGCCCGAGGCTCCCGGTGTCCCGGCTGTGCCCGAGGCTCCCGGTGTCCCGGCCATGCCCGAGGCTCCCGGTGTCCCGGCCGTGCCCGAGGCTCCCGGTGTCCCGGCCGTGGCTGTGCCCGAGGCTCCCGGTGTCCCGGCTGTGCCCGAGGCTCCCGGTGTCCCGGCCATGCCCAAGGCTCCTGGTGTCTCAGCCATGGCTGTGCCCGAGGTTCCCGGTGTCCCGGCCGTGCCCGAGGCTCCCGGTGTCCTCCCGTCGCTCCGTGCCCTCACTGGCAGCCCCGCAGGACGCCCAGCGCCTCCCGCACGGCGGCGATGATCATCCCGTCCAGCTGCGAGGGCGCAAAGAGGGGGCTCAGCCCCGCTCACCCTACCCCACACCCCCAGATTTCCCCTCCCGAGCCCTCACCTGGGCGCGGAGGCGGCGCGGGGTCCCGGTGCCGAGGTTCCGGAGGCGCACGGCGCTCTCTGGGGACAGGAATTGCTGCTCCACGCTGATGGTGCCGCTCAGGCTCCGCACCTGCCCGTGTTTGCCGTGCCTCAGTTTCCCCTGAGGCTCGGCACGGCCTCTCAGGGAGGGGATGGGGGGCGCCTACCTGGTGGGGAGCCCCGGCGGGGACCAGCACGGCGTCCCCGGGGAGCTGCAGGAGGCTCCAGCCGCTCACCCCGCACTCGTCCCGCAGCCGCCGCCGCAAGGTGGGGTCCAGGTACAACCCGGGGGGCTCCAGGGGGAACCCGGGGGGCTCCACCGCGTCCTGCCCCGGCTCCTGCGCCGCCTGTGGGGTGCCAGGGGTGAGCAGGGCCGGGTTTGCCCCTAAATAGCAGCTCCTAAGTAGCTCGCTTGGGTTTCGGGATGGCAAACAAATTCTTTTTTGTTTTTCTTGCTAGATCATGATGCAAAAGGTACAAGGGTTGATCTTTGCTGTTTCTAGCTTCGTTTGTTCATTATTATTTCATCTTTCCCTTATGGCAAGCAGTCTCTATTGCGCCAATGGTGTCTTTTCTATCGCCTGTACTGGGACCAGTAAATGCTTTAGTTGGGTGTGGGGAGTAGCTTTGTTATTATTATTGTTATTATTGTTATTATTGTTTTATTATATAGTAGCTATGTTGACTGGACTAGAGTTTGGCACCGAGACCCTCTGGTATTAGCAGACACCTTAGCCCCATCCTGCCCTGGCTCCTGGTGCCAGGGGGTGAGCGGGGCTGGGTTTGCTCCTAAATAGCAGCTCCTAAGTAGCTCACTTGGGTTTCGGGATGGCAAACAAATTCTTTTTGGTTTTTCTTGCTAGATCATGATGCAAAAGGTACAAGGGTTGATCTTTGCTGTTTCTAGCTTCGTTTGTTCATTATTATTTCATCTTTCCCTTACGGCACGCAGTCTCTATTGCGCCAATGGTGCCTTTTCTATCGCCTATACTGGGACTAGAAAATGCTTTAGTTGGGTGTGGGGAGTAGCTTTGTTATTCCAGGTTGATTGTGCTAGAGTTTGGCATCGAGACCATCTGGTATTAGCAGACACCTTAGCCCCGTCCTGCCCCGGCTCTGGTGCCAGGGGTGAGCAGGGCCGGTTTGCTCCTAAATAGCAGCTCCTAAGTAGCTCGCTTGGTTTTAGGGATGGCAAACTTAAATTCATTTTGGTTTTTCTTGCTAGATCGTGATGCAAAAGGTACAAGAGTTGATCTTTGCTGTTTCTAGCTTCGTTTGTTCATTATTATTTCATCTTTGGGTGTCTTTTCTATCGCCTGTACTGGGACCAGCAAATGCTTTAGTTGGGTATGGGGAGTAGCTTTGTTATTCCAGGTTGATTGTGCTAGAGTTTGGCATCGAGACCCTCTGGTATTAGCAGACACCTTAGCCCCGTCCTGCCCCGGCTCTGGTGCCAGGGGTGAGTGGGGCCGGGGCGCTGGAGGGGGCCGGGGTGGTGGCACCTGGAGCTGGCCAGAGTTCCATGGAGGATTGAGATTTAACAGTAGGAACTGCTGAGTCAAGATGAGACAGCAAAATAAGCTCCTGTCTTCTGCCTCTTGAACCCCAGCTTATCTCTGTAACCCCATAGGTCACCTTTCCCCTAACCCCTACTATTGGGCAAGTTTGGATCCCCCTTCACCCTATAAAAAGGGGCTGGTTTAGCCCACTTGGGAGAAGAAGAGCCAACACTGGAACCCTTCACAGACCCCACAATAAAACCATTGCTGTGGAA